TCCTTCAAAGAAGCCAAAGATCTCCAATACGGACGAGACGTGGGCATACATCAAGGCAGCCTTAAAGGCGTTGTCCCAAACGGGTACAACCCTTGCTAAAGGAGGCTTGGCCTTCCAGCTTATCCAGAAATGGAACTCCTTGGACAATATGACGTACAACTCTCGACGTACGATCCTCAGCTAAGTGACGGGAACGAATATCCCCTAGTCGCCCCAACGGGTTGTACTACCTTAGCGAGGACGTGCGATATGTTGTAAAAAAGATGCTGCGCGAGGGCTGGCTCGAGCAAACCGTTGATGAGCCAGAAGCCCAGCAGCGGTATAAGATGAAGAATAACCAACCAGATCGCTATGGCCCTCGTCCCACTGGACCCGCCACCTTGGCCTCAACCAAGTCCAAGAAGAAGCGGCGTACCTACCATCAGTGACCTAAGCGTAGAATTTGCATAGGGTCTAGGGGGTGATCCCGATATAATTCACCGGGCAAGAAAAGCCTAGTTAACAAATAACATGTAAAACTATAGGGACGTAAAAACATGGGGCATTTATCATAGAGACCTGTCATAAAAGTGGACTTAACCCCATTCTGCAAGTTTCATTTCTGTTACCACAGAGAATGGGACTTACACTACAGCAGAAGTATGAGCCGCGATGCTCGGACTGCAGACGCAATAGCGGAGACCAAAACCGCCGGGACAACGCCCCACGGGAATTGTTCCCCTGCGCATACCACCTGCGGCCGGGCTTTCGCGACGAGAGTGACAGAGCCTAATGCTTCTACTTAGAAGTGGTAAGAGGCAACTTCGACGCATATTGCCACATGACCGGCCGTGATGGAAGCCACCTGTTCCCCCTACTGAGGGACCACGAGCAGATAAAGATCTACGATTTCTACATGCAACGCAGTGGTGCCCGACAACCTGGCTGGAGCAGCACCGGAATTCAGATTCCTCCACTCAGCCAATCGGCTCGAGAACGGAAGGAGGAACGGAACCGGGAACGTCGATCCCGCAACTCGGGATCTGACCAGTCCTCAGGGCGTGGCCCAACGGCCGCCCCGAGCAATTACGCACACCAGCCACACCCACAGCGGCCATCATCAGGCTCTCGATCATACGGATACGAGCTGCCCATACCTTGGAGTATAACCAGATCCTGGAAAACATCCATAAAGCCATGGTTGACCAGGTGGCCAGGCAGCTGATGGAAGGTGGACTGTTGGACGCCTTGAAAGGCCAATACCAGCCAGCGCGTACTGAGCAGCACGCGCCACTGGCACCGCTACCGCGGAACCCCGGTGACTTGCGTCACCAGATCCAGAGTCGCAACCAGGACCAAACTGGCCGCCAAAGTCGTAGCCAGCACGAGGAGCGCCAAACGCGCACATCACCCGGAAAACGGAACGAGGCAGAATCCAGCCTGGTTGTCGCCCAGACCACCAAGCGACCAGAACGAAGCGTCAGCTCGGTGGCTCACAACATCAGCATCCAGATACCTATGGAAACTGAGTCCGCACCGCTGTCATCGGACCTACCGGCCCGACAAGACGCAAGCGTTAGTGCCACGGACTTTGACCCGTATAAACACGCTGAGGACCAGGGCATCAATATCCGGCCACGTCCCCATCGGGAGGTGACGGACTACATCATGGGCGCTATCCCATACCCTAGGGATCGATGGGCCCAAGTGGATGCCATGGTCCAGAACTTGCAAATGTTCGTCGTCCGGTCCGGACTCGAAATGGAGATGCAGAAAAAGGAGTGGCCCCGTGCTTTTAGCATGGCGGAAGACACTGAAAACCGTGAGGGTTACCCTATGGTCCGTGACAATGCTCTATCGAGCATCACGGACGTGAACTTACTTGGACAGCCCATCACCAGACCGGACTGGAACGACTTGTGCCAGTTGCACATTAAGGACGACCAACTTGACGTCGTCAAATACCTGGCCCAGTTTGTCCTACCGGACGCAAATGCCAGCTTCATAATTGCAGCAGCAAGAGCCGCCATGGAAATCCCATGCAAGCCGGCTGGTCACAAGGATGTCCCAGGAACGTACGCTTACTCGTACAACGGCATGATGATACGCATCTTTGCCGCCAGATTGGGACACCTACGGTGCCACTGGGAACTTGAAGTTGCCTATCGGCAGGGGAAGATCATCCCTCGACTACTGATTTAAGTGGCCCTCCTTGGAAACCAAATCCATGAAATCGAAGCGGGAGTCAAAATCCAAAACGCCCTGAATGTCTTTAGGAGACGCGCCACTGATTACCGCTATCGACATCCAACGGACTTCGACGACGGAGCGGAAGCGTTCGTTAACCGAACGGCAACGCGGAAACTTCCAACAAAGTTTCGCACCCAGCGATCCTCAACAGGATCGTCCGCACACGTCCAGACTCAGGCCGAACAGTCAGGCCTAGAAGTCCAGCCGACCAGCACCTGCAGCCAACAACAAGCTAACCTGACCGAACAGGAATTGGCGGACATGGAGGAAAGCGTCGTTGACCCACTCAACCCGGGGTTGGGCGACGCCGACCAAGCCGGACAAGGAGGGCAGGGATAGGCCAACGGCCATTCCTGCATGTTGGCCCTGAAAAGGGACCAACATCGGCTGAACCGGATTTGAACACCACAATGGGTACAATCCAACGGCTGTTACCCTCGCCCAACAAACGTGGCTTACGGCCATGTATCGTCTACCCCACCGGACCTTAATCCCTGGATCTTAACCGGATTCTCCGGATAGGCTCTGGCTTAGCGGCTGGGACCATGAATTTGGCTCGGCCATCCCAGACCATCCGACGGAGTCCACCGGACCGAACTTGGCGCAAGGCCTGGTTCACCGGCATGGAAGAGATTCAGCGCCCAGAAGGTGGCGGCGGCCCGCATAGAAGTTGCGACAAGCCGTGGACACGTCCTGGCCCATAGAAGTTGGACCAGGCCCGCTAGGTGCCTAACGGACCATATGCGGCTCACGAGTTTAGTTGCCATACCAAGCAACTGGGACAAGTGAGTACGGGAGCCACATAGAAGTTGTGGTACACCCATTTTTGGATGCCATTTCCGACATCCTCGCCACGGACCGCCCAGAGGCCCATTCAAAGATGCACCGCCCCGAGGCCAAACGAGGATGCTTCTAGTCAGCAGACCGACTCCTTTGTGGAAAACGCCTACCGGCGCCCACAATTTAATTTTTGGAGTTTGGCCCGGCTAACCTGATGTTTTCGTCAGACGCCACTTAATTTTGTTATGGCCACGGTCTCAGGGAAACTTACCCGTCATATCTGACATGGTAGTTAACTCATGGCCCACGGCCAGTGAGGCGGACCAGACTAAACCAGTCTGCAACTTCGGACCGTCGAAAAAACGACGAAGTCCTTTTGGCTCGCCATCAACCTTGGACAGTCGAAAAATCGACTAAGTCTTTTGGCCCGTCCAACGACGTGGCCCACCGAAAATCGAATAAGTCTTTTGGCCCGTCCAACGACGTGGCCTATCAAAAAACGACTAAGTCCACATCGGAGAGCCAAAACCGGTTACACAGGACCCACACCCCAGCAAAGGCCAGAAGCAAGGCCTTGCCATTCCGGAACCCTGTATCCCGGCCCAGAGCATGTCAGAGGCCGAGTTTGGACCGCCCAACGGGTTTGGTCCATCATACCACCTCGGTCCTGGGACTTAAAAATTTTTCCATTATGGCCCTCCTGGACTTAAAAAATTTTTGGACCTAGGCGCATGACCAAACTGGCATGCAAGGCCAAGTTAGTTAGAAACCGGTCCAAGTTAGAGACCCATATGGGCCATCCAAACGGAATACGTCCAAGCATACTATTTTGGTCACAGGAGCACCTCTCCTGTCCAGAGGCATCACTCTGGCCCTACATGGACCGCCCAAACGGGCTTGGTCCACCATATTGAACCAGGAAGGGGACAACCTGTCCTTGCGCATGCAACCGTGCCTTCCATATACCGCACCGCTGGATTTACTTCGCTGGACTCTTGTGGACATCTCTGGGAACCGTCGCCCCGGATCTACAGGACCAGAACAATCCTATCGGATAAAGCGGACCGTTGACTAGGACCCGTGTGGACAAAAGCGGCCCTGTGGTAACCCTAGCCGGAATAAGCCATTTTTCGTCTAGTTTTTTAACCAAACCTGGTTTTTTTAGACTTTATTAACCAAAGAAATTGATGTTTTTGTTTAGCCATTAACCAAAGGAATTGGCTTTGGGATCTCTAACTATGATCTTTACTTTAATTCTCACTGAAATTGTGATTTTTCTATTTCAATGTTTAACCAATGAGCCTTATAAACTTTATTTTTTTACTTGTTCGACCAAAGCAAGCCTTCAACCACACTGGAACCCCCTGCAACCAGAGTGCACTCCAGATTTCGGCCGTTCGGTGCACTGCACCGCGGGTCTGGAGGAAGCGACCCTACCGGGTTTAGAGACAAAGTGGCATCCGGCCCTACTGGGTATCGGATCCTGGCACCCTACCGGGTTGGCCAGGGGCAGAGTCGGAAGGTGCTCGCAGGAGCTCCCACTCCCGCCCAGAGGCATGTCAGAGACCGCTCACTCGAGGCGGTAGACACCTCTTGTGGCTTTCTCTGTCGCCCGCCCGCACATGGCAACGCCATTCGTGCCGCGCTATTACGCTGCTCACTCAGCGTATACTTTGTCTACGCTGACCAATCAGCGCATTTCTGCACTCTTGGGGGCGTAGCCCAGCGCTTACGAGCGATTCCATGCTTTACGGCATCAGCTGTTGCATACCTGCAGCACGCTGCATCATTATCACGATTCTGACTTGCGCGCTTGCAGCTACTTTCCACAGCATATGCCGCATTGGCTTTTTCTGTGTTTGTTTGTGGTTGCTTTATTGTTACACAAAAAAGGCATACTTTGCTCCCATTTTCTTCCTGCTTCTGTGTCATATCTGACACATTGTTGTGCTAATTATGGGAATGCTCCATTTGGATTTAACAAAACTCACCGACGTGTTGGAATATGTATTTTACTCCTGGTGCTAATGATCCCGGTTTAACAATCAATAGCGTATCATTCCGGCTTTTCATACACCCACTTTCCCAGTTGAATACCACTCCCGTCCCATCTTCGGAGTGCTGAGCTCTGGTGCTTGGCTGTTTTGACGTTCTTATCGCATAAACGCTCCAGTATCGGATTTGGCAGCCCAAGCATTCGGCGGTTCTTACTAGTCGCTGATTGGGGTTTACTTCATCTTGACATCCCGATCTCACAATCACATGACAGCTGCAAAAAACAAAGTAGTCGATCGATGGGCCTAAAAGAACCCTTCTCAGATATATTGAACAGTATATCGTAGTTGCGCATTACTCTTTTAATGACTAGGGACTTCCGACGGCCCAGAGTCTAACTCGGACCGCAATTTCTTTGAACCAAAACTCTGATTCTGCCCAATAAAAACTGGTTCTAGCATTATTCTTAGTTTGCTCACAGGGTTCCTGGAATGTTGTGAGTTTTTTCTTGTTTCTTAGGTTTTTTAGATTTTTCTTATGTTTTTGTTTCTTTGGTTTCTTAGATTTTTTGGGACACCGGCAGACACAAAACTTTTACTAAATATGCTATTTAAGCTGTTTAACCCTCCGTGACGCGGATGCCTTCCGGCAGAAAAGGCGCAAGCCAGCCCGCGGTTCCCGTAACCGTTCACGGGTTTGTGGCATTTGACGCAGTCATGAGGTACACAGATCGTGGCGCCGAGATGGAGGCCGATGCTAATCTTTAGCTCGTGGTCACCGAGCAGGTTGCCGATGTGTGCGGAAAGCAAGGCGTTCAACCAGATGACGAGTTCTGGCTTAGACTGGGTGAGTAGGTGCACTGTATTAACCTCATCTCTTTCAAACAATTCCAGCAGAGAGGAGAGGGAAACATAACATAATGGCAAGTCCCAGGCCTTTTGGGACTTCCGAAATGTAGGTTATGGGGGCTCTGGCTGGCGGGCTTTCAGCTTCCAGGACTCTACTGCTTCTGGGATGTCAACAACACCATAGTTAGGCAGTAATACGGACAACAAACCGGTATACGGAATGAATCGAAGCCAAGAAGGCTGGAAGGGATAAATCTTCGGACCGGCGGATGCTAATTCCGCCTCTGCTAACCGGTAGGGTTGCTTGACGCCAAGGTGGGCAGTTGCTGTGGTTGGTCCGTACGTTAGACAGGTTCTGAGAGCAGTCTCGCATCGCTCGTCTAGTTGGTACAACAATTCGGGGTATTTCCATGCATTGCGGCACCGTAGCAAGTAAATTACTGTATGTTCGGGGCGCCAGACAGTTTTTGAGAAGAAACAATGTTTGATAACTGAGTAGGAGCTGAAGCCGTTCGCATACTAGCTCTAACGTGCTGGCTTTTTTGTGAGAAGCGGCCCGGTCGATTCATCCAGAACGGGTGCGACGAGAAGCGACGAGGTGGATGCCGACAAAGTACGCATGCGTGGGTAACGTACACGGAATTCTGCTGCGACGTCTCGCTGAAAATTAACGGTCCACCAAATAGGAGTAGCTCGCACTTGGCCTCGTTAACCTCCAGGCCGATAGCAAGCGCACCTTCAGTTATCCGGCTGAAGCTCTCAGCCAAAGCCGCTGGCGTTCCGCCCAGGGTCTCGTTATGCAAGAACCACGCGTTCGCGAGACAGTGTTTTGAAGGCGTTCTTGAAGTCCACCTTAAGAACAACTCTGTCGTGTCGGCAGCCGATTCCAGGAATCTTCTGGTTGCGTGAACTATGGCTTCGGCTCCGCCGCTTACATTGACACCCAGTTGCTGTGGAGACAGAATGGCTGCTGGTCGGTCTTTTAAACGGGCGCAAATAATCTTGGCGGTCAGCCGGCGGAGGGTCATCCCAATCGCTACAGGTCATAACCCGGCGGCGGGGTCGAAGGGGGAACTGCAGTGTCGCTGTCGTAAACCTCAATGTTATGCTTATCCGTGAACGCCAGCGACCCTGAGTTACCGGGCTTGCTTTTCGAGGGCAGGCAAAGAGCCGTGGACCCAAACGGCAGCAACTTCCACCAGGATTTGCTGTCGTCATTGGTGGCAACCTGTTGGAGGGCCCTCATCAAACGCGTCCGTGTAGCGGGTCTTGCCCAATGGAGAATGGGACGCATGATGCGCTCTTTCGATGGGCGAAAGGCCTCTGCGCGTAAGCGCGGCTGTTGCGGAGTTTTTGCTTGTGGTAGGGGCGATAGGGATAGGTGCCAGAGCCGCAGACAACGTTTTCGGACATGCATTCTTGTGGTTTCTCCACCCGCGTGGCTCCTTCCCACATCCCGAGCAGGAAAACGGTTGAGATCGCATTTAAGGGCTATAAAATGAAGCACAGCACAGAAAAAGCTCTAACTAGTAAAGGAGAGAAAAACGCTGCCGACCATCGTGGAAACGACGTACCCACATTACTTGGGGTTCCAGCAAATTCCCCCCAAGTAAGATCGTAGAAGGCCCAAGGAGTTTCACATGGCGATTGTCATGGAATTAATTGTTGGACTTCCGAACGCTGGCAATTCGCACGTTCAGTGAAATTATTAACAGGTTACCTAAGAACCGGTTTGATATTGGCCAGTTTTATTGGTCAAAGTCATGCGGTCGGACTTTGGGCAGTCAGAATCAGACTTATGTGGTAGATACAGCGGATACAGCGTATGCTGTACCTCTACACATAGTGATTATGAGAGACCATGCGTGGTCATGCTTATGTAAGACCATGGGTGGTCATGCTTTGTCAGCAAGTAGTGAAGTGGCTGCCGGCATCGTGTAGTTTTCTAGATTGTTCTAGATGTTATGTTGTTGTCTGTGAAGTATAAACTGCGCGGTAGGCGCTGTGTGTAAAGAGGTTTAGCGTGCAGTTCGATCTGGCATAAAGGTTTAGCGCGCAGTTCAGCATATACAGCTTAGGACGAAATGGTCGCATACCCAAAATATCCACATTCAGTACGAATGCAGCGCAGTCCACTGTACGACTGAGTTCAAAATATCCGGTTCGTACAAGTGCACTGCACCGCATGCGTACAGAATGCTGGGTGTGGGGCTATGCGACCATTTCGTCCTACATTGTATATCTGTATAGCGTATATCATGGGGCCGGTCGCCCACACTTAAAGCATTCAGAGTCAGAGTAGTGAGTGGTCAGAATCAGAAGTTGAGGACGGGCCGTTGGAAAAGCCTGGTGGACCATGTAGGGCGCGGGATGGCGCCCACTCAGGCAGACCTGGGCAGTTAATTTTAACTATTTAACTTAACGCGAGTTATTTTCGAGTTATTGAGTTATAACTTAACTCTTTAGCGTAACTCGCTCAGAAGAGAACTTAACTCTAACTTAACTCTTATAAAAATTCTATATATTGTCTATGGCAGCGTAACTCGCGGTTTAACTCGAAACTCGGTTTTCTTGCATAAATAACTTAACTCTTAGTGTAACTCGCACGCTCCCTGTAACTCGTAGCTCTAACTTTGGGTCAATTTTCTATAACTGCCCAGGTCTATAGTATAGACTATAGTAAAGCGGGGGGCCTATAATAAACGGGGGTGAGATGGCTGCCTATAGTCTCACCCAATGTTTCAATGAGAATGGAATAATCGTGATTGCCTGGCGGAAGATGCCTAGAAAACGGTCGGTGCAGTAAGGGACAATTTAATTGCGGAGCGCATTTGGGCACTGCGAATCTGCGATAACGTAGTTAAGTGGCCATCGTTTTGAAGGCTAACTTCGCGTTGGCTCACTTACCAGGGTTAGCTGCACTGTAGCGGCTCCACCAAAGTTATACCACAGAGTTTGTGCACGGGTAAACTGCACCCACGCAGAGTGTGCATGCCCATGCATTCGCCTGCACAGTTAATACATACACGCTGGGTACTATTTTCTCGTGCACAAACTCTGTGGTATAACTTGGTGGAGCCGCTACAGCACATTTACGTAGGAAATTACGGGACAGGCTTGTCTATCCCGTTATAGCGTGTGTAACCGACCAAAACGTCCGGACGACCTAGACATCCAGCGGGCGTTTTGGTCGTCCGGACGTTTTGGTCGGTTACAAGTGTGTCTGCAACGGTGACCTAAGATCTCAAATCGTACAAATTTTATTACGCGTACTGACGGTACCAGCCTTCTGCGCTTACCGTCTTACGGTACCGTGACGGTCATAATAACCGGATACACCGTACAAGTACCTACGCGGCACTACAAGTACAGCATATGGTTTCTCAAAGACCGTGTTTTTTTTCCCACGGTTAAGTACGGTACATCGTTCACCGTTATTGTTTCTTACACAGCTCCTTATGTATGGACACTAACGTATTGCTTTATTGTATATGATGGTGCCGTATACGGTTTGCGACCTACTGCAAGTTTGCAACCTACTCCGTTCGATGGACTTCGATGGACACAGATTGTACAACTGGATTAATACCGCGCTCTATCAGAACAGAATGAATTTTCCCTCTGATGCGCCGGTCTGGTTCAATACAACTACGACTTGTCTCAAATCTTCTGGGGGATCTACAATGTTATCATATTAATTTTACGACTGAAAAATGGATTTATTTCAGACTGAAAAATTCCGTTGATTAATAAAATTTTTACTCAGATCAGCCGTAATGCACTTTGGTACTGTTATGCAATATGCAGCATACTTAAGTTTCAGTCCAACTTTTATTAAGTGACAACCTTTAATTACTGTCGTTGCGGTAAGCCAACTTGCCGAATATCCCGCTATCAAAAACGGACTGTCGGCCAGGTGTGTTGATACAAGCTGTTGGGTGAATGCGAAAATTTTTTTATGTAAAGCGTAACTGCACTTACGTAATCTTTACTGATGGAAATCCAGTGGAAACTGTCTTAATTTCTTGCGAAGCAATGTGAAAGCGATCCACTTGTACACCTCCACTTTCATACTGAGCTCTCATAATTACTTGGAATACATATGAAGTTCCGGGTCGGAAGGGTTCCAAATTGTGAATAACTAAGCTCGCGGAATCCAGATGCAAAATAGGCTCTAGCCACAGTCAAACTGCATCGGTTAAACTGCCATCCAAATCAAGGTGCACTAAATTACTTGGAAAAAGGCATCAATTTCATTGATTTCAGTCAAAACTGAAATAAACGAAGTAACTGGTCTATCCGGTAAGATTTCGAAGGCCTTACTGGAAATGGGCGGACATTATATCTGTAGGCTGTAGCCACCCAAATACTACTGAACAAAGGCGCAAACGCTACTCAATATTGCTAATTTACTAGAGGATCAGCGCTTTAGGTCTCCGTCGACCGAAACGAAGTCAGAAGTCTATTGTACGAGACAAGAGTTAACTGTTCACCGTCGCTATTTCCCTGTTGCAGAGCCGACAAATAATATCGGCGCACAGTGTTAACGATACGCTTTTAGCGTATTTCTTGGGCGATGAGCGAGCGGCGAGCGCCGTATTTTCATCACATTCACAATTTCACACTGCGATGCTGAGTGAGCTTACTATGTCTCCCGTGCTCTCTGTGACTGATTACTGATTTCGTTGCTAAAATTTGGATATTGCCAAAAAAACGGTTTAAATGTTAAATCGTTTGGCGTGCGCGCCTCATAAGGCAACAGAGCAGCATGGTACGTATTAGAGAGAAAAACACTACGTCATGATTTAATTTAATCGTAGTCAGAGCAGCAGGTGGCCTATTTCCGGCTAAGTTGACAGTCTATGTAACGTGGGGTTTCAAGTCTGGCTGAATCACAAGTCAAAAGATTAGAACACGAGGATACGCGCAGTCGACCGACAGTGAATTTGTTCAGCGAGACCAACCGACAGCCACGCATATGAGCAGATTTTTTTTACATAACAGCCACCCCGTGAAAGGAAGGTACAGTATCATTCCCATTTTGTGCGTGGCACCGGAGACAGTCATCGGTAGATGCTTGCCACTTGCCAGTCGCTTGCGCTATGTGCATGGTTGTCGCCTTGTCGGTTGGTCGAACTGTTTAATTTACTGTCGGTTCGACTGCGCGCACCTCGTCCTCGTGTTTTAGAGCCGCTTTGTTTTCTGCCTGTTTTCTCTGAAGTTTTGATTCAAAGAAAATCACCTACAGAACAATACATTTTGCTCAATAATTTATTAAGCCTCCATGCCGGAGAATTGCTTCCGAGAGGCGAGAGTTATAGCCACGGTAAACAGTTAGCTACTGTAGTTCACCCTCGTACTAATAGTGCTAAACCAGATGCGCAACGAATACACGGCTACACGGTTATGTATAATGAAACTATGCTTCCTTAGAACTGAGTGCACGTACCACTGCTGCTTTCTATCACTTGAGGACAATTACGGTGTTCCGATTCACAACGTAAGGTCCCAGATTGATCCCATGTTCGCAACTGGTTCGAAATTTCGGATAGTTTTCCCTCCATTTGCGTCCAATACAATCTGCAAAAAAACAATCTAAAAATGCGTTTGGTAATTTGGTTACGAGTGCTTGCTAGCTGCAGCTGTATGGCAATCCAGAATGTAAAAATGGAAGTACAAAACTGAAAATTGTACTGTATTTTACCCTAGTAGTATACGGTTGCAGTATCTCAGCTGAGCCTTTTACACATAGAACCATCTGTAAATCTGTCTGCTGTGTGTGTTTTCAATATTTTGTATACTTCGATTTCGCCCGTAAATTGCGTAACCATAACCTCAAAGTACTGGTACGGTAATAAGTTAAATTGGTAATGGTACGGTAACAAGCTCAATGTACGTACAGTAATAACTGACATCAATTTAATAGAAAGAATGCGCCGAGTCAGAACGCGGACTTACATCGTGCAGCAGCGACTTACATCGAAGCGAGAAACAGGCGTACCAAGTCCCGATTGGCTGGGCTTCGATGTACGTCGCTTCTTGCTCGATGTCTGTCGGGGGGCGTCCACGAAAACCGTTACGAAGATAGGCGTACCTTGTAACGGGTCTAAGCGACGCCCAGCTACTTACAAACTTCGCGTTTCTGCGATTTTCATTGGTCGGTCAGCATTTTGAGTTAGATCGAGGCTGCCCACCGCCAATAGTAAAATTCGAAGCCACGTGATTTTTTTCCCCGTACTTAAAGTCAGCATCTGATTTATCGCGATGCGAAGACTAGTTTTCTTGCCTTCCTTAGAAACTTTTGCTCTAAACTTGTTAAATATAAGTATTTATAATAATTTTTTTTAAGTAGATGTAGGTTTAACTTATTAGGTCCTAGTGCAGGAAAGCCTACATTCTGGGATCCCAGAATATTAGTGGCGAATATTGCTGCTTGGCTTAGATGCGTTCCTTCTCCCTGATCACATCAGAATGTCTTAATTATCTTTTAACACTGGCTTGATTATCGCCAGGAGTATTATGAATTAATTAAGAAAGGCCACAAGGTTTTAGAATCCATGTGGCTTTCTGTGTGATTTGTAATATTCTTCACACTGATTGCCGTCGAATCGCAGGGAACCCTGCTTGCTGGCTACCCAGCCGTGGGTACTGCTTTTTGTGTTTTCTGCTGAATTTAACTTAACGCTCAACTGCCAGTTATACTGCTGGACAGCCCTGTACGCAGTTCGGTAAGCAAATACTAACTTTTTATAAATTAAATTTATGTAGTCTAGTATGAGTCTATGAGTCGGTCGGATTTTTTTCTGCATTTTCTGACTGAACCTGACATGAAGTTATGTTGCACTGTGTAGCAGCGCTGCGGGTTCCCGCTTGATCTGGCTACCCAGAAGCGTTCTTAAATCTAATTGTAAAACTTTACTTCTTATTCTTAATTATTTTAAGTTTTCATGTTGCAATTTGTTTGGGTGCTTTTCAACAGGTTGTACTTATAGAACTGTTTACGGTGAAAAGATGATAATGATGTGGTAAAACTTTGAAAACACGTTGTCAGTGCAGTTTTTTATCGAAGTCTGTGCGTCATGGCTGTTTGTGCGCACGCGGTCAGGTTTATCCCGTACATACTTACACGCAAGCTGTGCAAAAAGGCGCAGTTTTGCCTACTTTGTATGTAAGTGCTTGGTGAAATTCGATGTAAGTAAGTGCGCGATGCGCCTATGCGCAATTGGTAAAATGTCAGTCTCGTCGTGGTGTTTTTCTGTTAAGGGAAGTGGCCCGGTACACGGTGTCAAATTTGTGTACGTACACGAAAACTTTCGCCTTCGCGCACCCCTAACACTTTTCTGATTTGTTACGTGTATATGACATTCACAGATGATTTGTATACACAGGCGCAAGATCCGGTTATAGAGAGTTATGGCTGTAAAAGAATTTCGGAAAGTTTAAATGCATTCAGGTGTGCCAAAAGTCTTATTACGAACCGATCATCTTTAAACTTTGCATATTTATATAAATCCACGTATGTATGTATGAAGTTCGCTTTTACACCGATCAAAGTTGCACCATTTTTTGCAAATTTTAAATGATATTTAAAAATTTTAAAACTTTTTCTGATATTCGCCTTTTCTTTCTTAGGTTGCGTAAGCCGTTTGGGAATAACTCTGGACGCAACCTAAGAAAGAAAAAACCAAGGGCAGTTTCAAAAATCAAACAAATATTAGCAAACCTATGGAGACTAAAAATCCTAACCACTAAGAGAAAACTAAGAAACCTTGGGGAAACCTAAGGAAGTATAAGGAACCACAAGAAAACTACGGAAAAATCAAAATGATAAGAAACCGATTAACTAAACCACGTTCAGGTCCGGAACGTAGTTCCCCGTCCGGTGCGAAACTGATTTTTATTCTTTTTATTTGATTGTGCAAAGTCGAAATTCAAGTTCTGGCGCGATCAGAAATGCACCCAGTACCTAGCGCATTCTGGTTCTCTTCGCAGGCACCTGAGTAGCAGGTTGACTTGTGTTTTCCCGAATCCTACTGGATCGGATCCAGTAGGATTCGGGAAACACAAGTCAACCTGCTACTCAGTTATACCATTCAAGTCGTATGTAACACGAACACTAACGCAGGCGGGCAAACAGCATGGATTTACAGATTTTTATCTCGGAGTCAAAACCTATAATTCTATTAGGCTCACTCGCCACGCGGCACTTTAAGTGACTGTTCTGTAAGATACAGAGCCGGAGGTTCTGTAACGTTTTGACCCCACCCCTCACCGCTGATTGGACGCTCGAGGTTGAAGTGTTCTGTATCTAAAAGGAACTCTCCTGGCTCCGTTACGATACAGAACTCGCATTTCTCACCAGAAGTGCAGGTCGATCTCACCAAGTGTATGCAATAACAAAATATTTTCCCTTGCCAGTTGACACCCTTGAACCCGAACATCTTTTTAGTTTTCTGGTTTTTACCTGGTTTCTAATTGTCTTTGTCTAACTTTCTTTAAATCACTAACGCCTGGCCCAACGCGTTCCGCGCTCTGGGCAACCACAGTCTTCGGATGATACAGTGCCTTTTAACATACAAGTCTATGAGTGATACGTCCTGTTTTAAGTTCACTACTAGCGCTGATTGTTCCAGTTTGACATCACCGGATCCGCAATAAAACGTTACACTAGCTAAAAGAAAAATAAACAACGCCTGTATCGATCTATTTGTGAATAATCAATTTGTGATGTGAGTGTGAAACTCGCTGTACGCTGAAAGTTTCGACCACATAACTGGAAAATTTTGAGTTGTGGTCTCGCTGCTCTGTAACGCTCTGTAAGACCTGGTCCCGAATTCAAAGCGAATCTCGTTGCGATACAGCAACTCCACCTCGCGAGGTGGCTTCGCGTACCGTATCTGTAGGCGTTGCCACTGCATACAGCCGCCTCGTGCGGTTGAGCAACCGTACCATAGCGAGATTCGCTTCGAATTCGAAACAAGGCCTAAGATTAAGCGCTGTGCCATTGGTAGATTCACTTTTACAGAACTCCCGGCTCTAGGTATCTTAAAGAACGCATTTAAAGTGCGTTTCGAGTAGTACTATTGTACTCGTGTGTTCAAGTTATGATGTCGGCTGCTACTTTTTCCTCGTTGTTTCCAAATTAAGTGAATACGAACTTGCAAGAGATGCCCGTTTATCACGGTATAACAGTAATAGTTTGTCTGTACAGTAATACCTGTGACTTTGAGCACTCTCTAACGGGGCTGCCCTCTTGTGGCCGCGCCCGTTCGCCCCCTGGGGCAGCTTCAGTGCGCAAAACCACTGGGGGCAGTGGTTCTGCGCCGCTCTTCTGTACATTGAACGGGCATCTACATTAAACGAAAAGTATGGAACCGCACGTGTTCAATGTACGCAGGTTTTACTGTAACTGCATTTGTATAGGCTGCATTTATTAGTGAATTACCACTGTAAGGCCGAGCTCTGTATGTCAGAATTTCAGAAGTGGGTTGCCAAAAAAGTTAAATTTAATTTCTCGCATATGAAATCATTTACGCGCGTCGAAATAGAATGGCCTTGTCTACGTATTTGGCCGCAGTGTTCTGCAGTGCGTCCAGATAACCTTTATCTACAGTATTTTGCTGCAGTATGATCGTACTCGTACACTGTATCAAATTTAGAGCCCATAAACAGTATACAGTACTGTACTGCCGTATACAGCATACTGTACGGCACAACAGTACGTAACCGTAGTGAAAGTTGGTACAGTAACGAAAGTGCCGTACGTAACCGTAAGCCAAAAACACGCTTTTACAATGGGCTTGCCGTATACGGTAGTGCCGTATACGGTATACGGTACGGTCAATCCAGTTATTTGTGCCGTAACCGTACCGTACCAGTAGGAGCCGTAAGCGGAAACCGTACGTAGCCGTACAGAAATTTGCTACTGTTTGGGGGCTCTAAGGCGGCATCCATAAATTACGTCACGCAAGTTGGGGGAGGGGGGAGGTCCTGAAAGCGTTACTGTTGTTACAAAGGGGGAGGGGGGTATTCAAAATTTTGTTACGATTCTGACGTCATCGTGCTATATCTATGGAGGGGTTCTTAATTTGTTACGTAGCGCTCAGGGGAGGGGATCTGAGTTTGTTAGCACGGGTGACATAGGGGGAGGGGGGTATCAAAATGTCGAATTTTTGCGTTACGTAATTTATGGATGCCGCCTGATCAAATTTAGCACAATACTAGCACAGAACACACAATCATGACCATCTAACTACAGTAACATTAGCTAGAAATACCCGGTGGACTGCACCATGGCGCTTATCGGTCGACCATTTTTGTGACGCCGCGCTGTGCTTTTGGACCTGTTTGTACCCTTGTGATGTTTCTGGGTTTTTGATAACAAAGTCCTTAAACCCAGTCTGTTCTTGCGCATGTTCTGTAGCCCGTTAGGGGCAATTAACATACGGTAATAAACTTACGGAATGAACGCCGGTGAAATGAAGGCCGGCGCTTCTTCATCCGGAATGAAGGGCGTTGGTTCTTCGTACTGTAGTACCCTCAGAGCCGGAGATTCCACTTCATCGACGTTAAGTGTAATTCTTTCGCCCCCTTCAATCCAAGGTGTAGCTGGATCTGTTACGACTTTAAACCATCCCTATCAATAAGGGCAAGACTCCAGGAACACTAGATTCCGTACCTATCTGGCGTTTTTGACTTTACTCACCTTTCAAACCTGTTTCTAATTACTCCCAATTTCAGACACTTTAAAGCTACGCGATCACTTACTCGGTCGATATTCCAGAAGGTTTTGTTCCCGGAAAGCGAGGAAATCGTAACGTTTACTGTGACCATATAACTTCCTAATGGAAGTCTTTGTTCCCCTCGGTTGATGAAGCGGATTGATTTGTTATTTTTTTTCCATACATAGGATCCAAGATCAACTGCGTTATCTTGGCTTGGCAGAGAGGGTTCTCCAGATATATTATACAACTGCCATGAATAAAGTGCTGCATAATGCAAACACTCCCTCGATAAGGAAATTTTAGATTCGAATGTAAACTGTTCATAGTAATAAATCTTCAAACCAATTGTGGGATCCCAACCACCATTTACAATTTCCACCGTAGGAAAACAGGTGTTTTTGTTTGTTTGTATTGTCACAGGAATGGAAGATTGCGCTGTTCTACGCCCACGATTGTAGATTGTGGCCGTTGCAATGTAGTCTCCAGGCACATTGTAAAAATGGTAATAAAGATAAACACTGCCTTCTTCAAAATGACTAATTTGTGCTGAACTTCTGGTAGCATTAAACACGTATTCGGTCAGCTTGACAGTCTTGTTTGTAGACTGGAAAGGCAGAGCTTGAAAAATCATTTTATCCCCCATATCCAGTGTCACTTTCGGATAATCACCGAGACTGCCGCAGGCAACAGAGTAGGCAATATATTCTCCAACCGTCGCGAAACGATGAGATGATATTACACTGCACTTTTCTGCGGTGACTACAACAAAACACAACTGTTTTTTAAGTGCCTGGCTTGCCTGCCCAGTGCCCATGCAGCATCCCTAATAATACAGTACGAGTATACGAGTACTGAACATTGTTTTCCGTCAGGCCTGCACACTGTTGCAGGACCTATACACTATAATAAAAACAGAAAGTGAGACTTTCTGTATAAGAGTGTATACGGCTTGTTTCTTGCACGGTCTATGGGGAAATCTGTAACCAAAATGTTACACCCCTGTGATTGGCACAAGTTAGGGGTGTGGTTTACGGTATGCCAGTTAATACGGGCATACTGCATAGTCAGCATAGCTGTCGCTAGAATGTGGTTGGGCTAATAGCCTAATAATTATAGAAGTATTCCATGTGGTTTGTATCCAGTTCCCGTTTATCCCGATTATTTCCCTTTCCCATCCAGGCCTGACGGAGCTATTTCCGTAGGAAATGTCACTTTAGTGTTTTTCACTGGACGGCAGTGTAGTTCAGACAGCAGTGTAGCTATGATTAATTTTCTAAGCTTGGTCGACCATTCACTCAGCTAACGATTTTGCGCTCTGGGCAGTGGTGGTAGCTCGGTCAGTGACTAGATTAACGATTCTGCGCACTGGACAGGGACAGGAGTTGGTGACCTTGGTCATAAAATCACCTTGTGATTCTGTGCACTCGGACAGTGGCAGTGATAGCCTGAATCTGGATATACGTTTCCAGTCTTTCCTGGATAGTCGTACTTCTTATCACCGAATAGCGTTAAAAACAGATCAACACTTACTGTATTTGACGATGAATACAGTGCTTGCAGCTTAATTTGCCTGAACTACAGAGATAGGGCCATGTGGTAGCTGTAAATTCACACTACTCAAGTGATTAACCGGGACGCCTTTATAGTTCAGCTATAGACTATAGTACATATTTTAAATATTTGAAACTGCGGCTCTTTAAAAGTTTGAGGAGTGGTAAAAAAAACTCAAAAAAATATAAAAAAAAGAAAAAATAAAATGTCCGAAAATCTTCGCTTTACTAAATGAAACCATTCAATATTCTCAACCAAGCAAATAGTACCTCTAGCATTCAAAGTGCGTTAGCATTTTGAATGCCGTGTTGAAGGTTATACGGTTAGCGTATGAATGTAAGCAGTGCCATAGCCAGTCACTCACCGATTTGACATCTCTTTCCAACAAACGGCTTCTTGCACTGGCAGTTAAATGTGCCATATTTTGGCAAATTTTCGCAGCTACCAAGTTGCTTGCAAGTTTCAGGGCGGCAAAACTTAATTCCCGTTGAACAGTTGATCGACATGTAAGATTGTGCACATTGACACCTGAAACCACCAAACCTGTTCTTGCACTGCCCCTGTTGCAGACAAAGGCTCTGGTTGCGCGAGCATTCATTTATGTCTTCTCCACAAACAGTTCCTGTGAAGGTTGATAAGCAAACACATTTATAAAGTCGCTGGTCGTCATCAGTAACAACACAAGTACCACCGTTCAAACATGGGTTCGGAATGCACGTTTTTACAGGAGTTTCACATCTTAAGCCAGTATGTGTCACAGGGCATCGACATTTCGGATCACCGTAAATTAGATAGCAGTATCCATCGTTCAAACAATAGTTTGAGATACAGGCATTATGGGCTTTTTCGCAGACTGATCCCTTCCATCGTGGCAAGCAAGCGCAGTGGAATCCGGGCCGGGACGCAGTGTTAACACATGTTCCGCCATTCCGGCAAGGATTCACAGAGCAATCCACTATAAGCTGCTCACACCGGGGACCCATATATTTGGGATCACAATTGCATACAGAGCCCCCCTGTCGCCTAACCACACATCGTCCGTGGGCGCACTTGTTGTATTCACAAGTATCTTTCTCATATTCACAACATGGCCCCATATGAGTATTATCACAGTTGCAATAAAATCCTGTTGCACTGTTCGCACAAACCGTGTTAATTGGGCATGATATTCCGGTACAGTTAGTCGAACACTGCAAATAGACATTATTCCACTGATAACCAGAAGCGCACAAGCATTTATATCCTAAAGGCAAATTTAGGCAAATGCCGTTGCAGGGAGAATGGGAGCAAAAATCCTTTGCTGCACAAGATTTTTTCAAAGATTTGCTGAACACCTGGGCGTCAATAAGCGTTTGCACGTGCTGCAGTGTTGGGATCTGCGAGTCGCCACAAAGCTCACTAGGCTCGTATAGCTGATGCAACTGATTGCACGTTGGCAATGCACCGTAAGAAGAGCGAAAAGATTTCTCTGCAAAATAAATGATTGTCTAAAAAGGGAGATCAGGCATATTAAACTAAAACAAACTCAAGTGATTAAAAAAATATTAACCAGGATCCCGTCACAGGAATCCTGTGACAGGATGTAAAATTGTAAACAAATTCAGACAACTTTCATATTTTGCAATTTGCAGGAAAATAGAGCAACATTGGAATTTATTTTCAGGGTGTAAAATTTACTTTCATCTGCAATGGCCATGGGTGGGGCCAAAATTTAAAAGGAAACACCTGTGCTTTACAGTTTACACTTTACACCGTGCTGTGTGTACTTTTTCAAATATACTATAGTCCAGGAGCAATGTACCGCACAGTCCGCACCATACGTTGTAGCGCTATTGAACAATCTGTGCGAGGCCAGCTTGACTTTACTCACTCAAAATTTCATCTGTGCTACTAGAGTGACTTATGGTAATCATTTATAATATTGTTCACCGTTTCTAGACATGATACGGTTCACATTTACTATTTTCTAAAGAAATTTGCTTTTCCTTTCTTTCTTTCTTTCTTTCTTTCTTCTTCTTTTGTGTACCTGGTCATTATTTTAGTTTTTTCTAGCAATTTTTTTCGAACACACATAAGTATTCACAGTTCTTCCGCCTGCGAAACGGGTTGATAGCAATAGACGTTTCATCTTGTTTATGCCGAGATAGATCGGTACGCGTGTGTTATTTCGATCCTGTAATGGTTGGAAAATCGCTAAAAAACTCAAACCAAAGAGCAGGCACCTACCCACTTCTGCTGGGAAAGGTAGGCGAAGAGTAAGCTTTAACATCTCCAGAAACGGTGAACATTCATTTCCAATAGCGAGTAACACAGATAAAAATTTTCAACGAGTGCTTATAATTATTAAAGTCAAACTGGCCTCGTACAGATTTTGGATAGCACCATCATAACGTATAGCACCATCATAACGGTATAGCGTATGATGAAGATAAACTGCCCGCAGTCATAAAACCGTAGGCTATAGCACAGTGTAGAATCTTATTTAAAGTTGTTCTGGCCACCATCAATGGCCATGGCAGATGAAAATTTATAGAAGTATGCTTACCAATGTTTCTCTACTTTCCTGCAAAATAAAAATTTTTTTTGAATTGACATCCTGTGACGGGGCCCGGTAATCACAGTAAAATCTGACCTGCGGTTTGCGTTTAAGGGAAGTGGCCCGGTACATGTGCATATATAACGTTATTTTAGAAAAGCACATTAGCAGCACATTAGTTACGGCTTAAATAATGCATGGAACTAATGGAAGTACCTTTATTAGGTCTGTCCATCCACACGTTGAGCAGCGTCATCTCGTTAATCTCTATTGCCGCAAATGGCTTAGTCAATAAGCTATCCGTTCCAAGATAAAACTTGTTACGCCCCGTAACGCCATAGTTTGGGATGGGGTCCCTGGCCAAACAACTGCCTGAATCTGCACAAGAGATACCGTCGACGGCGGCTGATGTCTGAAGTAGCCCAAAGCGATTTCGGCCGCCAATATGGACAACGTGCCACATTCCGGGACTTCCGCTGTTCGGACCACATGTGCACCACCAGCTAATTGCTCGGAAGCCTAAGAAATGCCGATTTTTGGTCTCAGAACGTGAAAAAAGATATGCGAATTGCGAGTATAGTCTGCCTGGTGCCTACGGTACTGTACATGGCACTACATGCAAATTTTAGACAGAAGAAACAAATAAAACGGAAGACCGTTATTAAAGATCTGGTCTGCCATATGCATTCCGTTTTTGAAAAATATCTGCATCTAAAAATATATACACCGTTTTTGGAAAATATCGGACCCAGAAACGTGGGTCACGTTGTAAATAAACAGGTTAAACAAAAAGGGACATCAACTTTTTATCGTTGCACTTACTGTGCTATGCTGCGACAAGGCAAGCATTGCGCGACGCCGACAAGGCAGCGCTAAATGAAATCCTATAGAAGTAGTCATAATTAGGTTTGCTTTTCTTATTTACAAAGGATGTTCCAAAAATAAATTCCTTGTCTTATATCTTCCGCTCTGAACGCATTCAGCTAAATTTACCCATATTATTACATACGCTCTTCATACGTACAATATATTTAAAAACAACAAAAAGAATTTGGAATGTACCACATTTTTCGATGTACATACGTGTATGTTGAGTTTTGTTTCCTTAAAAAGTAAACAAGAAAGCTAGCAACGGCAAACTGCAGACGGTAATTTATCTTGTAACGGTTAATCAACGGCAAAGGCTTTGTGAACGACATTTTTCGACGGTAAATCGAAGCGGCAAAGGTTTTGACGGCGGCAAATGGGAAGGCAAAGGTACAGTTGTAAAAGGCAAAGTGAAACGGGAAAGGCAAATGGGCGGCAAAGGCCAAGTAGGCCGACCCCGAGAACTCCCACGGGCCACGATACAGAATGAATGTTTTCTTAAACCGTATTTCGGCCAAAATGTACTGTGGCCGAAGTGAATGGCGCCCGAAAAACGACCACGTTGGCCGAAATGAACGTGGCCGAAATGAAAACGGTCGAAGTGATCGGTAGCCTTGGCTACGGCCACAACCGTAATATAATTTCACACCGTAAGAGTTGAAAATCTATGTGCCGTGGGAAGACGGAAACAGAAAGCCTGTAGATAAAATCGGAAATGACAATACCACTGCCGCAGGCTAGAAACGTGCAAAAGAATTTATCAGGCAGCGGCTTTCTACCCAAATACAACTCCAAGGCGGTCTGTATGCTGAGTGCTACTGTAATTCCGATCAGGATAGTATAGAGGAATTGTTTTGCTATGGCTTTGTTTTGTTTGGTGCTTTCGACCTGGTGCTTAATTTGTATTTGTACCGGGTCTAACCTATCTGCAATGTTTTGTGTTAAAACATCTGCAATGTTTTGTGTGTTATTATGACCAAATTTAGATTTCACAACCTACACCAGATTTTGTAATAACTTTGTCATACTTTCTGGAAAAAGTAAAAAAACTCACCGCATTGTATTTCCAGTTCATTCGTAGCTGAATTCACCATAAGCCCTAAACCGGCAACATTTGCAGAATCGAAGATTCGGTGCTTGGTTGAAATGATGTACGTCGGTTTCGAAGGTTTGGCATTTAGTTTGTATTGGATTGTAACAGTAAATCCAAATTCAGCTTCGTCCAAATCAATCAGCCAAACAGGAGGCTGGTGTATCTGGCCAAATTGGTCAGTCCCGTCTAAGACAAGGCCACCTTTAAAAGGCTGTCCAAAAGTGTTGGCACTTTTTTCTGCTCCATGAGGAAATGCAATAGTAATATTGTGTGTGGCGGACTTCGATTCGTTCAAGCTGGAGATTGTGTCAAGAGAAAAATGCACCACCTGCAACTTCGATTCCGAAACTGCAACCAAAACAATATTTAAAGATTATGATACTCGTAACTCTGCAACGGTAGAAGCGATAACTCTGCAACGTATATCATGCAGTTTCTACAAGAAACTAGCATCCTCCAGATACGAATTAATAAAACTATACGTCGGTTCTAAAAGTAAGTGTTTCGTTATTTAGAAATATTAGAATAGTGCTGTTTGTTGTGCCCTCAGTTGTATCCGGTTGCATGGTATTGGTCAACCGTTCGCACTTGTGCGAAAGAGGAAGAAAGTCCCCTCCCACCAAAAATGGTGCGAAGACGCTCTTCACACATGTTTTAAGAAAAAAGTGCGAAAGCCGCTCACACTTTTTGTTCGATGTGAAAGCTCCCTTAGAACATTCTGCGCTCACACTTATTAAAACTTTTCGTCTTCGCAAAGTGCGAAGGCCTTCGCACTTGAAGTGTGGCCGTAGCATTACTGTCTACTTCTTGGCCTCAAAGATTGCTACGAGTACTTCTACGGATCTTGTTGTACGGATTTTAAGCGCATAAATTATGACAGTCCTTCTGGAGCGGAGTTTGGTGTGAGCGGTCCTACGGTACGGTCCTACGGTACGGAGTTTGGTGTGAGCGGTACGGTCATCGGCCGTTTAAATAATAAATTCCTACGCTGTGTATATAAAACACAGCAGATTTTTAGTTACGGTATACCATGATGAAAACTTTTAAGATTTTTTGAACATTCTCAGGGCAAAACAACATCTTCATCAGCTAAGCTGCGCGCGAAGATCTCCCCAAATTCAAGTAATCCGAGCACAAATTATCGACTGCGCCACATCGAAAATACTTTATTGGCAAAGTTTCTGAAATAACGAACAAAAAAATGTCTACTTACTTTGTACTAGAAATAATATTTGCTATCCTAACGGATTGACATGTTCACCCGTAAAATTTGGGCTACATTCGCCCCTGCTAGTGGTAACCAGTTGACGCGTGCCCCGCCCTCTTACTGAAAACTGGTGCACAAGGAGGCGTGCCCACAATTTATGGAATTTTTAAGGCGCAGACGGAATTGGGCTCAATCAGCATGGGCAAATTTCGCCTACCCTGTTACGCTTTGGACCTTGCTACGGCCCTTGGTTAAACTATTCAAACAGCTGGTCGTGCCAAATTCTTTACTTTTTTGTCCTGATGGACAGAGCAGGTTAAAGTCTCGTATTCAATCCATTATCGTACCTCTCCGGCGTCCAACAGGCGTAAAAAAACAACAATGGCGAATTGTTAACAAAATGTAGACAAAACCAACATTTGCACTATGCATTTTTGATGCGCACTCGCAACGTAGCTCAAAATGGCTGGCTATGCATGTACATGTACAAAAGCATGGCTGGCTTGCAGTACAAATTGCAGACTGTCACAGTATTATGACATTCGCCTGCTGGATTTTTAATACGTCGTTTTATTGGGTGTTGTGCGCAAGAGAAAGCACAAAACCGTAGTAATATACTTATATAATAAATATATAAAGAAATCTGATATATAACAAATCTTCTAAAACTGTGGCAGTCATCTAGTACACAATAGTACTACTCGAAACGCACTTTAAACTGTGTTCTGTAAGATACAGAGCCGGAAGTTCTGTAACTTTTGATACCACCCCTTACCGCTGATTGGACGTCTGAGTTAAAGTGTTCTGTATCTAAAAGGAACTCTCCTAGCTCCGCTACGATACAGAACTCGCATTTCTTGCTAGGTCAAATTTATTTTTTGATGTGGATGCACAGTCCGCTGTACGTCAAAAGTCCTATTTTTAATTTTCCAGATTTGAGGGTGTAACTAACGGGAATTTAATTGTTTCTATCGAATCAACATTCCAGTTCTGCTTTGTTCACTGTTTTTAGGCTGCCTCCGACTGTGCATGTTTGATGTTTGAATTTGTATCGATGGCAACAGGCAACTTCTTGCCATAGCCGTCAGCGCGAGGAATGGTGAAATTCCACCTCGACGTACTTTACGTGCAATTGCGTTTCGCTTTTTCACCAGTCGTCTGATTTCTTCAACTTAATAAAACTTAAAATCGCCAGAAAAACAGAAAGGAAACGTCCACAAAATTGTTGTGAAAAATAAATAAATCGTTGACCAAATTGGTCAACGGTAACTGGGCGCTTTTAGAGTCCGTGGTCTCGTTGCTCTGTAACGCTCTATAAGATTCAGCGCTGTACCATTGGTAGATTCATTTTTACAGAACTCCCGGCTCTGTATCTTACAGAACGCATTTAAAGTGCCTTTCGAGTAGTACTAATATGACCTCCCGCTGCCTACATCGCTCACTGTCATAGATTTTTAATACGTCGTTTTATTGGGTGTTGTGCGCAAGAGAGCATAAAACCGTAGTAATATGCTTATATAATAAATATATAAAGAAATCTGATATATAACAAATCTTCTAAAACTGTGGCAGTCATCTAGTACACAATATGACCTCCCGCTGCCTACATCGCTCACTGTCATAGCAACACTGTTGTTTTATCACTGCAAGTTGCTTATAGCGATTGCAACAACAATGCAACAATAACAAAACAACAACTACAAAGTTCCAACGTGTAAGTACTCGTACGTTCACATGGTCTGTCTTTATCTTATCTTATCTTAAGATTTATACACTATTATCTCTTAAAAAGTTTGCAATTCAAGAAGTAATTCAATATTCAAAGGATAAGTTTAAAATTTTTTTAGAAAAATCAAGCACTAAGCAGAATGGATCAAGACGCTTTTGAAAAAAATTATAGCAATTTCAAAAAGGTTTGAAAAATCTTTTAAAGATCTAACAGTACTTACTTAAGCACATGTTACATGTTAACCACATGTTACTTATTAACTTTTGCTACATATTTATTGGATACTTGGATGCGTACCTGGCTTAGCAACTGATACAAGGTGCAAACCGTGCAATACGTACTTCTGCTTAATAATAAATATATAATGAAAGCTGCAAAACAGAAGCTTGCTCGTGCAAGTGTTACACTAAATTTGGCAGTACAAAAGACATTGTTTTAAAACTAAAAGCACATAATAAATTGAGGAAAACGAAAAAGTAAAATTGATAAAAACCCTCGGCTTCGCCTCCGCATTCCTAGTAGTCGACGGCCACATTGTTTGATTTCGAATGACGTAAATATCAGTGTAACAACTATAATTATTTCGGCGAGGCATGATCGGTACATCATAACAGCGCAAAAGCTAGATTTTAATGCAAATTATTTTATGGTTCTCTCATTAAATGATTTGCTTAACCGCATAACCATTGGCTGTGCAGATGATTTTCTTACATCCTCACACCCGGAAAAAAAACTTTCGGATTTTCATTGTCTACAGTAATTGTCTATCACCGGAATTTCATTGTCTATGAGGTATTAAATTCTAAACTATCCACTAAAACCAAAGGCACACAATAAATTAAGGAAAATAAAAAAGTAAAATCTATAAACACTCTCAGCTTTGCCTATCCTCTCACCCGAAAACAAACCCGAAATTTCATCGTCTATAATGACATGCTATACGGCAGTCGCACTACGACTACCGTACTAGATGACCAACCACACACAGTCGGTAGAGTGGGACTCTTTTCTGAACGGTGATCTGCTCCTAACTCCTACGCTCACAACCAATGTCTGGATGATGTAGTCATCCAGATTCTATGTGACTTCCCGCAGGTTCACACTAATGCTTTCGCCACAGGAAGGTCACTCAGGATCTCATAACCTTTAATCATAATCTGAAGACTGCACACACTGCATACAGACTCTCCAGCCAGCACTATCAAATCTGCACACACTGCGCACAGATCTGCCAAATCCAAGACTCAATTCAAACTCGTGCTCACAATCAGACTAATCGACACAAGCAGAATCGGTGACAGAATTAGCGATCAAAAGCTTTAGATGAGAAGAGGTAAACCGTACGTTTACTACGACGTACGTACAAGGTACAAAGTATACTACGCATACCGCGTTAATAAGGTATTAAATGCCAAACTCATAGTGCGACTGCGCTGGACACTATCACTTTCTACGCTATCACTAGTTCGGTGTCGTAATCACTAGCAGGCTCTTTTCACTGGAGAGTGGTGGCTGTCCGGTGGTGTATGTCCAGTCAGTACCAATAGCAATAATTAGAATTCGTGAATAACAAAAAATACTAAAATAATAGAAAGTATAAAATAACTGATAAATACAAATCAATAAAATATTGAACCGAGGAACATTTCTTAACTGAGAATAAATAGAGTAAAATAATAAATGGAAAAATAACTATAAATTAAAATAAATGGAAAAAATAAAAAAAATAAAAATCGAATTAAACAGTGCAAATTAGAAACGATTCCTGAAATTGAAGACCTCCATTACCTCGAACACGACTGGTCGCGCGCTAGCGCGACCGATAAGTACTTGTCTTTATATCTTTATCTTTGTATTCATACTTTATATTCATTATATTCATTATACTGCCTCGCCACCATCAAACCACACCGCCATCTGAAATCAAAATTTCGCGAGAGCTTTTTGGATGACGATGCGCTTGGAGGAGACCCTGATGACGTGTACGATGACCTATGTACTCTGCAGGAAGCGTTGAAAAATGCCGGGCTGCATTTGAACATCGCCAAATGCGAATTGGTAGTGATCGGAGGGTCCGAAGCCGATCGCCAAAGGGTAACTGACGCATTTCTCCAATCGTTCTCTGACTTGCAGTTGCCGCACCTGAACGAGTTGAACTACCTCGGCGCGCCACTCCACGATGACGCGGTTTCAGGCACCCTTGCTGTTGAAACGGAGAAGATTGCCAGGATGACACAGCGCTTAACACTGCTGCCTGCCCACCACGCGTTGTACCTTTTGAAATGCAGCATGGGTCCGGTAAGAATGATTTACAGGTTGCGAACTGCGCGGTGCTACCTGCAAACGGAGTTGTTGCGACAGTTCGACAAAATGATCATAGACTGTCTGTCGAGAATTACCAATGTGAACATTACCGAAGCCATATGGATGCAAGCGGCACTTCCCGTCTCACAGGGTGGTCTCGGAATCCGGAGCATTGAGAAGCTGGCCCTTTCGGCCTTTTTGGCCTCGGCTTACTCAGTGGCTAAACTGACTAGCGAGTTAGTTGATTTCGACCCGGAAATTTATTGTTGCGACGCCGCAGAAGAGTGGCAACAAATGACCAAAGCGGACCTTCCGGCCTTCGAAACCAGAAAACACCAGAAGATTTGGGATGAACCGATCATCCACGGCACGGTGGAAACCCTCCTGGCGGCAGCTCAGTCAGACATGTCAAGTGAAGCCCGTCTTCGAGGTGTGAGCACTAAGGATAATGGCGCATGGCTGGAAGCACTTCCAGCCGCATCCCTCGGTAACTTCCTAAACGACACCACACTCAGAATTGCTGTCGGCCTGCGTCTCGGCGTACCAGTCACCATTCCACACCGTTGCAATTGTGGTGAATGGGCCGATGCGCGAGGATACCATGGCCTGAGTTGTAAAAAAAGCCGGGGCCGGAAGCCCAGGCACAGCTGCATCAATGTCACTTTAAAGCGCGCCTTTGCTTCCGCCGGTATTGAAACGGAACTGGAACCACCTGGTACTTGCCTAACCAATGGCAAGCGCCCCGACGGAGTGACTTTGGTCCCATGGGAAAGAGGAAAGATGTTGACCTGGGACGCCACATGCGTGTGCACGGTAGCTTTGTCGCACATCGCGGCAACATCGAAGCAAGCGGGAGCAGCCGCGGCGCGCGCAGAGCAGGATAAAGTGGCGAAGTATCGGGAACTCACTCGAGATTATCGAGATTACCTGTTCCGCGCATTTGGCGTCGAAACACTTGGACCACTCGGACCGGATGCTTCTCGTTTGGTGACCAAAGTCGGGAAGATGATACAACAGGGAACAGGCGAGGTACGGGCGACGGAGTTTTTGCGCCAACGGATCAGCATTGACGTCCAACGCGGGAACGCGGCCTCTGTCATGGGAACAGCACCAGCATCGGCCAACTTAGACGAAATGTTCTGTGTGATTAGGCCGCCCATTTCCGTAGTCGGCTGAGGCTGTGTATTCAGTATAATTCTTTCACTTTTATGGAAACTTGTGACTGTCAGTGTGAAATGTACTACACTGTACACAGAAGATGAATTAAAATTTCATACAAGCTTACCGACCAAAGCGTATTTATGCGCCGTTTTTAACTCCTCAATAACTCGTGGTCAGTTTAAGTCCAGCTTTGTCTAAAAAATTCCATATTTTTATCCAAAAGTTTTATAATATCCCGTATCCTTATGTATCCTTTGAAAATATTCATAATTTCCAGTAATTAAGTGCCGAGCGCGGATGCACGAGGCTACCTTGTCTTAAGAGTTATACACTATTACGTCTTTTTACTTTTGTAATTCCAAAACTAATTTCAGACTCATATATTCTAGCTCCAAATTTTACTAAAAATTCAGACACATGTCAGAAGAGATTCATTTGCAGTTTTAAA